TGACCAGAATTGTGGAGAGAACTGAGTTCCTGAACCAAGTGAGGCACCACTGTATTTACTTAGCAATCTTCTCTCTTCTGTTTTTTTCTTTCTGGAACCCTTAATATGCAACTGTTCCCTTTTGTATTATCTAGGTTTTGGTTTTTGCCTCTTTGTGTTTTTTGGGATGCATTGATTTATTTTCACCATATCATTCTTCTATTCCATTTTGGATACTTTCTATTGTAGTTTTCATTGCTCAGATTTATTCTATTCCTTTGTCCTACTTTAGTTTATAAGTAAAAATATATTTTGCCTTTTTGAGGTTCTCATTTATATGAATGTTTTGGTTTTTTTTCTTCTGTGCTCTGAAACCTTCCTCTTTGGGTAGCTTTTAGAAAAATCTTTATTTCATATTAAAAGTTTCCTTCAGACATATTGGTCATTGATCATGCATCAAGGAGACACCAAGAATCCATTAGGAAGAGAGGATGTGGGCAAGACTGTCCCCTTGATGAACGTGGGTTTTTTCTGGGCACTCTCCTCCACTGTCTGTGATCACAGTCATTGTTCGGGGGGATTCAGTGTCCCAGGAGAGCAGTCCTGGCTTTTCCTGAAAGCATCAGGTTGGATGCAGCCTTCTAGCACCCAGAGAGGGAAGACGGTTCTGGTGGTGTCGCACCCTTTGCTGGGGAGTATCACTGTCTCCTTTCTCTGTAGGTCCCTCTGCCTCCATCTGTGTGTCATGACTGGAGCTTCCTAGTTCATCTTCTCCTGAGAGGCACTTAGTTCCCACTAAGCAGGATGGTAGCAGCCCTCCGGCCACACAGGCTTGGGAGGTGTCTGGTTGGTTCCTAAAGGCTCCCTACTGGGCTTCTGCATTCGGCCCTACTGGGACCTCCAGGCACACCAGGTGCTAAGCCTTCTACAGCCTCACTTCTCTGTGGTTTGCCTCTGAAGATATGGCTGTCTGTTGTCCCCATTCCCAGGTCCACAACTGCTCGACTGCTTCCCGGCCACCAGAGTCTTGTCAATATTGCCACCTCTCTTGTCCTTGGCCCATGTGGATTTATCCCTTGTTTGTTCCTCCAGCGCCACACAGTGGGACTTCACTAGGGAGCAGAGAGGGAACATCATCTGCTCAGGGTACCATGGTTCTCTCGAATCTGCCCACTGTGGTTCAAGAAGGCAGCTGCCTGATCCTCGAGGGAGGCAGGCATAAGGACACTGGCCTGGCCTCTGAGGAAGAGGGATTGCTAAATCATGGGCTTGGAACAGAAGCAGAGTTTAATTTGGCGGTTAAAACCCTGGACCTTTGCCCAGACTCCTACCCGTGTTGGCAGACACGTTGCATTATCCCTTAAGCCTCAAAAAAAAAATGGGATAATAATGGGATTGCCTTGTATGTTCACTTGAGCATTGAATGAGGAAATGGGCAGCGTTTAGCACAATTGCCTGCCACGGGCAAACCTTCCATACATGATGTTGGAGTGACTGTTATTTTTCTACTATTTTCAAATGATAGATCTATAGCCTGGGATAGGGAGAAGGGTGTGTCTCTTCCCCAGAGCAGACAGAGAATGAGAGAATTGTTGGAATATTAGAATAGTAGGCACCTCCCAAACACCCCTACGGCTTATTCCCAGCTGCCCCACCCAGGGTGCCACCAGCACATTGGCTCTGGGACAGACAGACAAGACAGGGGAGTCTCTGTCTGTGGTTGCTGCTGGAATGCACAAGAGACTTGGCCCAGGGCCTGGGCAAGGGTGGGAGGGGAAGCTGAGGGCCTGAGCCAGTGGGGCAAACCCAGCACCACTGGGAAGAGCCAGAGAGAGGTAGAAAGATGACAGTGCTTGCCCTGTGGATCAGAGGTGGATCAAGGGGTGCTTAGGACAGAGGCACCATGTCCCCAAGTCTGCCACACCCTCACCTATTCATTCACTTCCAGGGAACAGGCAGCAGCGGGAAAGAGGAGGGTACATGTGGCCAGTCACGGTGACATCAGGAAATTGATAGGACAGGAACCAGGACCTCCCCCCACTCTAAAAGGGTGGGGAGTTTAATGAATGAGTTAGGCAACCTTTCAGGGCCTGAGGGTCTGGGGCATGCAGCCTACCCACCATCCCCAGAGACCCAGCACCTCAGGCTCCCTGCAGAAAGATGGCTGCTTGCTGGATGCGTGGACCTAGACCGAATGAGCCCAAGCTCTTACCTGCTTGTCACAGCCACTATGGCCCCTAGGCCATGTCAGAGGACAGCAGTAAAGGATGCAGACACTTCCTGCAGCTTTCACCATCCACAGGGGAGGCAGACAGATGACAGTCTGGGTGACTAGTGCAGTGGCAGACAGTTCTTATGGGTGTCTAGGAAGACAGAGGGACACCAGCCTTCTGTCATGTCAGGAGTCTCAGAGTTGCCTTCTGGTGGCTGTTTAGGGAGCAGGACACTCCTTGAGGGGCTCAAGGCCACCCAAAGGCCAATGAGAGAGCTGGACAGGTGGTGCAGGGCTGAAAATCCTGGAGTATGTTCAGGCTGAGAAATGTTGTAGGGACTCTGAGGAGAGCTCACATCGGTCAAGAGAGTCTGTTCGGACAGAAGGGGAGCCTGCCCTCAAAGCCATCTTGTGCCATGTCCTGAACTTTTGGGCTGAACACCAGCCCAAGGGCATGAGAGAGGGGAACACAGGTCCATCTCTCGAGGTGGGCAGCTCTGTACCATCCCAAAGGTTCCCCAGTATCTACCATGGCCCTGCTGTCATCAGAACAAGGAGCTGAGGGCAGGCTGACAGTCATGGAGACCTTGGTGTGCGTCACAGGCAGAACCTGGCAGGGAGCCAATCAGAGGAAGAACGGGCTGGCCACTGACCATCGTGTGACCTGCCAAGTAGACACTGCTATTTATATTCAAGAGCTTGGGACAGGCCTCTCATCAATGAGGACATCGGGTGGCCCCAGGCCACAGCATCCACAGAAAATGCCTGACTCCCCAGACCTCCCTAGAGCCTGCATGTGGCCCTGACTCTGGAACTGAATCCTAAGAGTTTCCCATATCTCCCATCTTGTCATACACAGGACAGGTCCCCCAAGTTGTGCATAAGAGTGGCACCTTCAGCCACTCAGCACCGGGTCCCAGCCTGGAAATGGGACTGGAGCAGGACAGGCAGCAGGCAGGTGTCCATCCTGGGGCAAGAGTGCCCCAACCACACCCATAATCCCAGCATGCTAGAGGGAAGGAGGGTTCCTGGACCAGGCTACCCCCCTACCCTGTACCCTAGAGTGCTGCCAGGGAGTCCCCAGGCTCAACAATCCCCTGGGGACACGTTCTTGTCCTCACCTGGCCTTGCAGTGGCTGTTATCTGGTGTTTGGAGTGAAGTGTTTGAAGGTGAGCAGACCAGGCAGGGGATGGCATAGGTCCAGCAGCCAGGCAGGCGATAGACAGCTCTAAGCCTGGTGGTGTCAAGAGATGATCCTGGCATAGTCTTTCCAGTTGTGAGGTGCATGACAGCGTGTGCCAGGCACACAGGCCACCCCAGCATGCTCAGCCAAGGCACATGCACATTGCACAGCTGGCTGGCCACGCCCATTTAAAGGGTCCGTGTTAGGCCCCACAGGTGATTCATGGGGACCCTCCGGTGCCTGGCAGCAGTGTCATCTCCAGGGATTTGTTCATCGCACTCAGGGCAACCTGGGACCTCTCACCAGCCCTGGGCTAAGACCCACCAACCACCTACCCCCCGGGCCTATACCTCCGCCCTCTCAAGGATCCCTGGGTTTGAGTCCACCAGCCCTGCCAGGATGACACTGACCTTTCCTTCTTTCTTCTCTGCCTCCTTCTCTTCCTCTCCTCCTCCCTCTCACTCACTTGCTTGCTTGCTGCTTCCTTCTCTGTAGTTTTGGCACCATGCATGTTAGGCAAGCACTTACCACTGAGCTACACCCCCAGCCCTGTTTTATTTTGAGATCAGCTTGGTCTAAGTTGCCCAAGCTGATCTCAAATTTGTGAACCTCCTGCCTCAGCCTCCCAAGTGAACTGGATGACAGACATACACCCCCATGGCCAGCTTAACTTTGTTTCTTCACCCCAGCATGTCCCACAGCCTCATTACATCCTCTGGAGTCTCCTATGCCTTTCTTGGGCCAGGTCCCAGGATGTACCACCCCTGCCCTGCCCTCTCTCTAACCCCAACCCACTTGTCCTGGCCAGCACCCAGACTCACCCCACTCCCTGGCCTGGCACGGCCCTGGGCCTCCTAGACTATATGATTAGAGGGCTTCTGCCTCCTGGCCCTGCGAGCCAAGGGCCCACGTCCTTGCTGCCTCATTGGCTCTGGCACTGAATGTCTGCATGGCTCTCTCCTCCTACCACTGCTGTCCTGGTAGCCTGTCTCCTCCATCCCTCAAGCTCCCTGCCTACGGTAGCTCTGGGCAGCCCTATCTTCTCTAACTCTGACACAGCAAGGGTTTGTGGAGCGTACAGGCTGCTACCAAGGAAGCTGGCTGGAGGGACAGGGGCAGGAAAGCCACCCACAGTGGGGAAATAGGCAGATGGCCCGGCTGGCAGGACAAGGCTGCCTGGGGATCAGACCCAGCATTGCCCAGATGGGCTCAAGCCCTGTTTGCCAGCCTTTCTAAGACATTCTCCACACCCTCAGCCCCTAGCTCCAGGGACAAAGTGAGAGGTAGGGGCTGTAAGAAGCTCAGAGCTGGCCCAGCCAATGGTGCTGGGCAGCACCCTGAGGGGCTTAACCCACAAGAACAAAGGCATTGGGCAACAGCTCCCACCACAGCTGGCACCATTCAGCCAGGCAGCACTAGAGGTGAGGGGAGAGAGATCTGCAGGGCCAGGCTGGGATAAAGGACCAGCCTGGCCACAGGGAAAACCGGCAGGGCCCTGCAGCCTCAGGGCTTTGTGCTCTTTTCTCTGCTCTCGCAGGCCCACTGCAGCTTTCCACCAGCCCCATGTACTGTCCCCCTTTCCCTGGGACAATAGCCCCTCATGCATCCTCTTGTCTCACCTCTAGTCGTGGGTGGGGCATGTGCCTGGATGACCCTCCAACCACCGATGTCATTGACTTCCCCTCTGTGCCACCCGGAGTCTTGTATGACGTGGACCACCAGTGCCACCTCCAGTATGGGGCCAACTCCATCTTCTGTGAGGGCGTGGATGTGAGTATGGCAGGGGACAGGAGGATACAGAAATGATCTCAGCAGTTGGGGAGGCCAGCCTGGGAGAAGCCCTGCTTACCCCCCACCTTGGAAGACCCCAGTCAGTTCCCATGGGAGGGCCATGGTATGGGTGCTGGGCTGATGATCCCCTCACTATGGAACCCCAGGCACCTCCCTCCCTCAGCCTCCTGTCACTGGCTTTGCCCTCTGAGGTCCTGGGGCAGCATGTATGATATCTCAGCCACAGCTTATGAGAGACCCCTGGCTTCCCCAGGTTCCTTCCAGAGGACAGGTAGGGCTGAGATGTGGTCTAGATGTGGGGGAGACACGGAAGACAGGGCCTCTCTAGGGTCCTCACACCTGAAGACCCCCGTGGTATGCCAGCCCATGGAGCAGTGTCCAAGGGACCCTTGGGGACAGTGAGGTGGGTGTGCGGTGGCCCTGGGGCAGGAGTGAGGGTATGACCATGACTCCTCCCTACAGAATGTCTGCCACACTCTCTGGTGCTCCGTGGGGATGACCTGTCACTCCAAGTTGGACCCCGCTGTGGATGGCACCAAGTGTGGGCCTGGCAAGGTAGGTGATGCTCCCACCCAAGCTGTCAGGAGGAGCGCTGACTTGCTGGGCTCTTGCTCCAGGGTCATCCCTACCTCATGATTTAACAGACCCCTAGCCCTCTCTGGCCCAAGTCTGCAAGCCTTGGGGTCAGGGCCTGATGCCACGATCCCCAAAGGAACCTACACCCAAAGTCCTAATCGGGTCCTAGAATGTGCATGACCACAGGGGCCTCTCACACCTTCCCTCTCCCCGCTGTCCACCTACTTTATGCTCATTAGGGTGAGGATGACTGATAAGTATGAGGGTTTGCTTTGCCCCTATCTTGGCAGTGGTGTTTCAATGGGGACTGTGTCCCTATGGGTTTCCGGCCAGAGCCGGTGGATGGTGGCTGGTCCGAATGGAGTGCCTGGTCCGTCTGCTCACGGAGCTGTGGCATGGGTGTGCAGATTGCCGAGCGGTGGTGTACACAGCCCGAGTGAGTGGGGGCACAAGTATCTGGGGGTGAAGGACTGGGCAGACTCTGGAGGCTGATGGTGACCCTGTTGCTGAGAAACTGGGAGATGCATTAGAGGCCACAGGAGCATCTGGCTGGAGGGCAGCCGGTGAGGGCAATGGTCAGCACATGGCCACCAGACCTCAGAGAGACCAGGGCTTCAGTCCACTCCACCTTGCATTAGAAGGCCTTCTCCAGGCCTCAGTTTCCCTGGTTGTACCCGCCTGGCATAAAGTGCTTCGGGGGTGAATGCAGCAGTGCCACGTGGGTCTGAGGTGGCCCCTCCCTGAAGTGTCTCCCATCCAAAGAGGGCCATGAGAAGCTAGTGTGGCACAGGCCCAGCCCTGTGGCAGCTGGGGCAACAAGATTCAGAACCTTCTCCTGAGGCAACACACTGCCATGCTCCCACCTCCCCCAGGGGAGTGGAGTGGACCGGTCCCTGGCCTAGAGGGGTAGGGTGGGCATTGCTGCCAGCCGTGGCTGCAAACTCATGGCAGGCTAGAGCATGAGGTCTTGGACACCATGCCTGCCATGTCCACTCTGCTCCAGCCCACAGCCCCAGCCCTGTTTATGGAGAGGAACCCAAGACCCAGAGCCCAGACATCCTGTCACCCCACCCCTTGGGTCCTCACCAGCAGGGGGAGCTGGGGGCTCCCTAGCCTGGGAGATGGGGGTCCAGCACTGCAAGACCCTAAGCACAGCCCACTGGCTCCCCACAGGCCTAAGTACAAAGGCAGGTTCTGCTTGGGTGAGCGCAGGCGCATGCGCCTCTGCAACCTGCAGGCCTGTCCACCTGGCCAGCCTTCCTTCCGCCATGTCCAGTGCAGCCAGTTCGACTCCAAGCCCTACAAGGGCCAACTGCACACATGGGTACCCGTGTTTGATTACGGTAAGCCTTCCAACCTGGGGACACTGAGGCCCTAGGGTGGGGAACATATGGGTCTCAGGTTCTCAGTAATACAGGCAGGCCACCCAGTCATCACCCCTACTGTCTCCAGGGTCTCAACCCCAGCACTCCTCCTGGCACCACATGTGGCCACCTGCCCACCCAGAGCCCCCAGCCTGCCAGGGCTGCATGTCAAGAAGGGGTCTTCCTGGCAGGCTCATGACACTATCCTTCCCCAGGGAATCCCTGCGAGCTGAACTGCCGGCCCTCTACTGAGCACTTTTCTGAGAAGCTGCGGGACGCTGTGATTGATGGCACTCCCTGCTACCAGGACCAGACCATCCGTGACCTCTGCATCAATGGAATCTGCAAGGTGCGCTGGACATAGACAGCAGCGCCCAGTGCCACTGTTTCTAGCCCCTGGAAGGCACCAGCTCACCTTAGCTGCACCCTTGGGCCTCTGCCCTCATGACCTCAACAGCAAAGTTCCCATTACCGAAGATTGCAGAACCCCCATGTCAGACAGCCCCCTACACCCCTGGCCTCCCTACCTGGGCTTGCAGCTTCCTGCCCTTCTATAGCAGCCGGTCCAGCATAGCTCCAGCTGGGAACCAGAGCTCAGGCAGTAGTTTCCTCCACTCTAAGGAGGGTTAAAAGGTGGTACAAGTGGCACAGGGCTCCAAGCTAGCAGTGGAAGCACTCAGTTTGGTAACAATTCCTAGTCTCATTCTGGTTCCCAATCACCTCTTGCCCCTGCTGCTTTCATTCTATGCAACTCGTATGGAGACTTGGGCTCAGAGGAAACTGGCTGCTGGTGCTGGGCCTGGGCTCTTGATGACTTTTAGAGATCCCTGTGTGCCTGCTCAGGAGCCCATGTGCCCACTTTGCACCCATTCCACTGCCTATGGCCCACCCTATGCCCCTAAGGCATGGGCTGACCCCTGTCTCACCTCTGGGGAAACAAGCTCAGAGGAAGAGGGGTCCTCCCGGGTCATATGGCACAGTGAGTTATCAAGGTCCCAAGGGAGGATCAATATCCAGCACCATAGTCTTGACTACCCACCGTTGCAGAGTGTGGGCTGTGACTTCGAGATTGACTCTGGTGCTGTGGAGGACCGCTGCGGAGTGTGCCGTGGCAACGGCTCCACCTGCCACACTGTGATCGGCACCTTTGAGGAGGCCGAGGGCCAGGGTATGCATGGGACCTCCATGGGGGTGGCACTTAACCAAGGGCCCTCTCTTCTCCTAGTTCCACCCTTAGCCCCTTTAGTACCCCCAGACTGGAGAGCACAGACCTATCCTTATAGGTGCCTCCTGTCCCAGAACCAGGCCAGCCAGCCAAGCCTGGGCATGGCCCTATTCCCTACAGAGAGCGCCATCTACTTATGCAGAGATGGAGGCCTCCCCGCTCCATGGCTTCACCCAGGGGGAGCCACATTGCTTAAGTGTGACTGTTGTAGGTGATGGGATATTCACAGTCTGCCAGGGTGACAGCCCTCATAGTAACAGATCTGTGGGGATATTCAGAGCTGAGGGAGCACTCTGGTCCTGCCCCAGGAGTGCAGGTAGGACTTCCTTCAGGAAGCGGACACAGAGCTGAATGAGGAGGAACCCAGATGTGGTAGTGAAGGCAGAGAGGAAACTGAAGCCTGGGGCAGGAGTGGGTGTGTTCTGCCCAGGACCTGGCAGGCAAGCTGGCTTGGGACCTTGAATGCTAGGCCTCCAGCTTAGCTTTAGGGCAGCATGGCCTGGTGGTCATCACACAGGCCCTGTCCCTGCTCCATATTCCAGCAACATCGTTGTGCAAGCTGCCTAACCTCTCACATTCCACGCTCTGCACCTATGAAGTAGGGGTGACAGTGGTGTCTTCTGACCAGCTTGTCTCCCAGTGTTTACATAGTTAGGTCCTTAGAGTCACCTAGCTGTGAGGGACTCCTTACCCCAAGAGCAGCAGCCTTGTGCGGAGGAGGAGGCTTTATTGGAAGAAAGGCCAACGTGTTCTGGTGTTTTAGAAGGCTTTGCAGGCGGGGAATGCAAGCAGTAGATCCAGCTGTGTCAGTGAGGCTAATCGAGGTCCTCAAGAGAGGTCAGCCACAGAGCCAGGGAGGCTCTGATTTCCCAGGGTAGACCAGGCTACATGTCCCATTCAAGCTTGAGGTGGACTCCATGGAAGGTCTAGAGGCAACCTGGTGGCCTATGCACACCGCTGACCAACAGGGTACATGGATGTGTGGCTGATTCCCATGGGTGCACGTGACATCCACATTGAGGAGGTGGCCGATGCTGCCAACTTCCTGGCCCTGCGCAGCAGTGAGGACCCACCCAAGTACTTCCTCAATGGAGGCTGGACCATCCAGTGGAATGGGGACTACCACGTGGCGGGCACCACTTTCACCTATACCCGCACAGGCAACCGGGAGAACCTCACGTCCCCGGGCCCCACCAGTGAGCCTGTCTGGATCCAGGTGCTGTGTCTTGGGGCCCAGCATGGGGTGCAGAAGTGGGAAGCCCCCCACACACAGAAGGTTGGAAGCACAGAGCTGGTGCTGGGGGGTGGGGGACCTGCTACCACTCCTGCCTCAGTTTCCCTAGGGCCAAAGTGGCCCTGTGGAGCACTCCCAGTTGGCAGATGGAGGGGACCCCATGTGCTCACAGGGCTCCCCCACTTGCCCCAGCTGCTGTTCCAGGTGTACAACCCCGGGGTACGCTACGAGTACACAGTCCACAGAGAAACTGAGAACTTCAATGCGATACTGCCACCCAAATTCTCCTGGCACCACGGGCCCTGGAGCGAGTGCACGGTCACCTGCGGCACAGGTGGGATGGGGCAGGCAGAGCCACCACCTGGCTATGCTGGCTGAGCCTGTCCTTCAGCCACACACAACCCTCCCACAGGCTTCGGGGGTTGCACAGTGGCTTCCATCACACAAATCAGTACCTGGGCCTCACCAGGAACAGCGGGGCAGGTGTCCACCCAGAACCCTCCATAATCTGTCTACTGGCTGTCCCAGGGCATCCTACAGGGGGCTACAGTGGATAAGGGTGAGGAGGGTAAAGGAGGTCTCGACACAGGCAGGCCCCATTCTAGGGCACCTGACCTTGGGGTGCAGGGTAGCCTGGGCAGGGGCCTACCCATGTGAATCCCCAGGCATGCAGAGGCAGATCGTGTACTGTGTGGAGCACCAGGCAGGGCTTGTGGACGAGAGACACTGTGACCCCCTGACCCGCCCTGATGACAACCACAGGACCTGCAGTGAAGAGCCCTGCCCCGCCCGGTGAGCTGCCTTACCAGCTCCTGCTGTCCTGACACCTGGAGGGAGGACCCAGGCCCAGGACTAACACCCCAGTTGTCCCTGGTCCTGAGTTTTGGGTGGCCCTGGGCAGCCAGCCCTGGCCTAGGTACTCCAGTCACTTCGCTTTGGGGCCCCAGATGTGGTGAGAGCCCTCAGGCCTTGCACAGGTCCACTGTGGAGGCCAGCAAGGATGAAAAGGCCATGTTCTGCTGCCAGGCTTTAGGGACAGATTCACCTAGGTTTGGAGCTCTATGGACTCATCCTCTGGACACTGAGGTCCAGGACCCCAGCCTGGCCCTCTCCACTCAAGAGCCTGCCACTGCCTGTCCCACAGCATGCTAATGCCACCCTGTGCCCTCGCAGGTGGTGGGCTGGGGAGTGGCAGCACTGCTCCCGCTCCTGCGGGTCCAAAGGCATCTCCCGCCGGGCTGTGCTGTGCCTCCAGAGCGTGGGGATGGAGGAGCAGAGTGTCCTGAACCTGTCGGCCTGTGAGCACCTTCCCCGCCCCCCAGCTGAAACCCCTTGTAACCCCAACGTGCCCTGCCCAGCCACCTGGGCTGTGGGCAACTGGTCTCAGGTGAGTGTGGGATGGGAGATGCCTTGGCCTGGATGGGAGGCAGAGAACCAGTGAGGTCCCTCATTGCCTGGGACCCTAGGGGAAGAACCAGGGCACTTGAGGCTGTGTACCTGTCTTGAAGCCTCAGTCACACAGCAGGCACTGTGTACCAGCCATGACCTTGTCCTCTGTGCCCTCTGCTGGCCCAAGCCTTAATGTGGCTTCCCCACAGTGCTCAGTGACGTGTGGAAATGGCACTCAGCAGCGAATTACCATCTGTACCAATGACACGGGCCTTCCCTGTGATGAGGCCAACCGGCCAGCAACCGAGGTACCCTGTGCCCAGCAGCCCTGCCTGAACTTGCTGGCCCCCGAGGCATCTGGCAGTGGTGCCTCCAGCCCTGAGCTCTTCAACGAGGTTGATTTCATTTCAAACTCCCTGGTCACGTGGCCCCTGCCCAACTCCACACCTGAGTCGGACAGCATCAGCAATCGCATTGAAGACTTGAACCCACCCAGTCCCCAGTGGGTAGATGACTTCTATTATGACTACAATTTCATCACTTTCCATGAGGACCTATCTTATGGGAGCCTTGAGGAGCCCAGCCCAAACCTGGTGGGCAGTGTGGAACTGATGCCCCCAACCCAAAGCAGCCCTGATAAGCACCCAATGGAGCCCCCCAAAGCAGAGGGGGGAAAGCAGGTAGCTGGCCACACCCCACTCCCACCCTTGCAGCAGCTCCCCCCAAACCCAGTGGTCCCACCCTTGCCTGAGGAAGATGCCACCATGGGTACCCCTGACCTTGGACTCCCCACTTCAGTCAGAAGCGCAGAGACACCTGCTGCCCCTGCAAGCCCCAATGAGCTCCTAGTGAGAGAGGACAGCCAGACCTGGCCACCCCCTCCTCAGTGGAATGGTGCCAATGACATCTCCAAGGACAGTGAGGATGCTGCAGGCGGCAGAGCACGCCACCTGCCCCAAAGCCCCAGCCCCATGCAGCCCCCTTGGCCTCCTGTCTACCCCACTCCCATCTTTCCTGAAACTGATGTGGTGCTGCTGTGGACAAGAACTACGTCTTGGGACCCTGCGCCAGAGAGGGATCCACATGGCGAGATGCGGCCCACTACAGGAGTGGCTGTTTCCTCTCCTCTTCCCACCACTCATGTGCCCACGACATGGGAGCAGGACAGCCCCCTGACAGTGCCGCCGACGGCTGAGGAGGGCCACCCTACAGACCTGTCTGCCAGGAATGCCACCTGGCAAGTGGGGAACTGGAGCCAGGCAAGTGGCACAGGGCCAGACTGGGTTTCTGTTCATCTGCTCCCTAGAGAATGCAGATCCCACAGCGGCTGGAGGCAGTGTCCTGGGGCTGTGCACGTGCTCCTCCCTGCAGCCTTCCAGGTGGCCTTGGGCCAATCTGCCCCATAAAGCTTCTGACTTGGACAGGGAGTCCATCTGCCTGTTTCCTAAGTCCCCAGAGCCCCATTCCTGAGCAACTGTGGGCTTCTGAGGATGGCAGCAGCAGCACCAAACAGGTTTGCATGCCCTCAGGGACAGGGAGCTCATCTCCAGCTGTGGTGTACGAGTGGGGCTCCTCAGAGCTGCTTAGATTTGCCACCAGGCAGTCCTTTCTGTGGCTCCAGTGCTTCATCAGGAACCCACAGGGAATGGGAAGGAGCTAGCCTGGACATCCTCTCAGGTCCCCAGATTGTCACTGCAAGGGATGTGTTCATGGCCCCCATCCTTGACGAGGAAGGGACAGGCTGGGGTCAAGAACTGGCTTTGCCTGCGTTTCTAGCAAGTGGGCTGCCAAGACCAGGAGCTGGACCTGCTTTCCTACAGAGCAATAAGTGGCATAGTGGTGGGGCAGTGTCCCTGCAGGTCCCTCATGAGCAGAATGGGTAGCAGGATTCCCCTTTCTCACCATCTCCTTGGGAGGGGAGTAGGGAAGTCCATCTTGCAGGTAAGGGAAACTAAGGCCCAAGAGAGGGGCCCTAGCATGGCAGAAGCAGCTTCACCAGCAAAGTCCGTCCTGATGTTCATGGCTTCTGTGCCCACAGTGCTCTACCACCTGTGGCCTGGGTGCTGTTTGGAGAGCCGTGTACTGCAGCTCTGGTCGGGATGCGGACTGTACTCCTGCTGGACGGCCCCAGCCTGCCCGCCACTGTCACCTGCGGCCCTGTGCTGCCTGGTACACAGGCAACTGGAGTAAGGTATGTGCAGTGGGGGGCTAGGGCACAGCCCCAGGTACAAGGTGGAGCCCTTGCACCCCAGGACCAGAGTTCAAGAGCAGCTGTGAAGGGGCTCCACACCCATCTGGACATTGACTTCCACTCTCAGTCTTTGGAATCTCTTTAGCTTCCTCACGACCCGGGCCAGCCCCTGCTGCAAAGGGCATCTGCTTTCCTCTACCCCCAACCCCTCTAGATTTCCCTTTTGCCAGCTCTGCTTTGCCCTCTTCTCCATCTGCCCCAGCCTGTGCCAGCCTCTGGTCTTCCTCCTGTTGTTCCCCAGGGCCAGCCATCGCCAGCTTCCTCTTGTGCTCTTGTGGGGATAGGGTCTGCCATCTGCCCAGCCACACTCATCAGTTACACACATGTGCGTGTGTGTGCACATGGGCTACATTCACACACACATTCTGGGAGCCCTGTGTTATAATGTGTGAAGGCTGATGGGGTTCACATGTGGGGTTGCATGTGCATGAATGTGGGCAGTATCTCTGGGCCTATGGGGTATATATGTGTGCATGCCTATAGGGAAAGCCCGCACATGTCCCTGGGTTATAAGCGTATACACTTTTTTATTTGGTGTGTCACACACGTCCCTGGGCCCTGGGATTATGCGTGCATGGGTATAGGATACCTCTACCCGTGTGTTCCTTTACCTCTGGGATGTGTGTTTATGCACATGGGGTGCATTCGCATGTCCCTGATCCTTAGGATAATCGTGTGCATGCATGCATGCATGTAGGATGGATGCATCCACTCAGTTGTCCCTGGACCCAGGATTACATGTGTGTGATGTGTCACACAGCCCCCTGGTTATAAACATGTGCATGTGCTTAGTGTGTCACACATGTCCCTGTCCCCCAGTGTTCCCGGGGCTGCGGTGGAGGCTCTGCAGTGCGGGACGTGCACTGTGTGAACACACAGGACCTCCGTCCGCTGCGGCCCTTCCACTGCCAGCCTGGGCCCAGCAAGCCACCCACTCGCCAGTCTTGTGGGACCCAGCCCTGCCTCAGCTGGTATACCTCCTCCTGGAGAGAGGTGAGGAGGCCTGGGGAGGAGGCGCCTAGAGTGGCTCTGGTCCTCCCAAAGTCCTGGTCAGGCTAACCTGGCCATTCTGACACCTCCCCTCCCTCCCAGTGCTCTGAAGCCTGTGGCGGTGGTGAGCAGCAGCGTCTGGTGACTTGCCCAGAGCCCGGCCTTTGTGAGGAGACACTGAGACCCAATGCCACTCAGCCCTGCAACACCCACCCCTGCACACAGTGGGTGGTGGGGCCCTGGGGCCAGGTAAGATGGGCAGCAGGGGGCTGGAAGAACAGAGTGGAGGGTGCAGGATGGCCTGGTGCTGGGACACCAGGGAGAGCTAAGAAGAGATCTGGGCCAAAACCCAGCAGAGGATCAGAGATGCTAAGAAGAAGGGCAAAGCCACAGCAAATAAAGACCCTTGGGCCAGAGACAAGGGAACAGAGGGGCCCATGGTGGGCAGGACTGCTCCCTGCTGGACCTGTCTGGATCCTTGAGGTTCAGGAATCTCAGAACCTGATCCTGAAGGCAGCAGGGCCTACACTCAAGTCCTGATCCCAGAAGTTGCTTAGTGACTGGCAAGTGGATTTGCCTTGCTGGATCATGCTTGTCCCATCTTAAAAATGGGGATGGCATGGGCTGGGAGACATAAATAAAGCAGTATGATTAAGCAAGAGGCCTGCCTGACTCGGCAAGGATGAAACTTGATCTCAGGGCTTTTCATACCACCAGGTCCCCAGCTGCTAAGAACAAGCCCAACTGAGGAGGGGGCTCTGGATGAGAAACTTCTCGCCTTTTCTGCTCCCCTCTGCCTTCCTGGGCTACCATGGTTCTTGTCCAGGCCTCTAGCCTCTGCCAGGCCTCAGGCGGGATTGTGTGGGAACTCCTTACCTTGCCCATTTTCCCTTTATGGCAGCAGATCCTTCTGGGCATTTCCCCACCAACCCCTAGAGGCTGCTTAGGCCCTGGACATGGGTGCAGCAGCCAGGACTCTCCTCCCCATCCTGTGCAGTGCTCAGCACCCTGTAGAGGGGGCGTCCAGCGGCGCCTGGTCAAGTGCGTCAACCTACGGACAGGGCTTCGTGAGGAAGACAGCGACCAGTGCAGCCACGAGGCCCGGCCTGAGGGCTCCCGATTATGCAGTGCGAAGGACTGTGAGGTCACTGAGCCCCCACGTAAGTGTCCCCCCTTCTGGTGCTCAGCAGCAAGTAGGTGGGGTGGGAATAACGGGGAAGCCATCTTCACAAAGTTCTCATAAGCTCCCTCTATAATGTGGACTCCAGGGCCACGTGGCCATGACAGGAGGCAGAAGGGGCTCTGTGCTGGAAACCAGTCCCCCCAGGGGGACACTCAGCCAAGCCAGTCGTCACAGGCAGCTTCTGCATCCATAGAGTAGTAGGGGTGAGCCCCCCAAATTGTGTGCCATCAGGCAAGCTCCTTTTTACTCCTGAGAAAGTCAAGATGTCCCCAAGGCCCCCAATTCCCAGCTAGCTGAAGGAGGAAGCAGGAATGAGCAAAGGTACTACAGGAAGTGCCTCCCTCAAGGCGTTGCCATCACCCAGTGCTTCTGGCTTCCGGGCCAGCTGGGTCCTTTGGGCAGGCAGAAGGACTTGGGCCAGAGGTGGCTCTGGACCCCAACCCCCACTTCCTTCCTGAGCCTCAGCTGTCCGCAGCAGTGCTGAGCACAGGAAACCCTGTGGCCCTGGAGTCGCACCTGGGTCTGGCCATCAATGGAGGGGCCTAGAGCTCTGCTTCCCTTCTTCATGTGTGAGAGGCTGCCAGCCCTTGTCCCTGCACAGCTAGGGTCTGGGGTGAAGGTCCATCTGTGCAAGGCACCTTGAAGTGTCACCTGGCCGAATGTGAGGGTCCCTGAGGCTGAAATATCCCACCCTTGTAAATAAGTTTACAGTTTCCTCGACTCACAGCTCAAGAAAGCAATTTTTAGGACTCTTCAAAAAGAGGCAAGAAAAGGTTTATGACATGGAGGTTTCAGGATGCACTCTGGAGTAGTGTGTAGGCTGGGCACCAGACTACATCTATTTAAGGGTGTCTTTGAGATGGGTGATCTAAGATACGTCTTCTCACTATCTGCTGGGTCACAGTTTACACCATATATGTGTGTCTGAAGTTGAGGTCTGCTGCCCATCAATATTGCTGCTTCCTTGTGGTTAAAAGAAGCACAACTTACAGGTGCAAAGGACAGGTCCGGAGCTTAGATTTACAGGCTTATTGTGGCTGTAAGACCTTTTAGGAATTTTTCTGTTTCAATTTTTGGAGTTTCTTTGAAGGGATGCTGATGCTATAGTTTTAAAATGTTAATTTCCTTGTCTCCTTTCTACCTAGCTTTTATTTCTTCTACCTAAGAGGTGCTCAGGACAGGTGACTTCCTTTTCTTGTGGCAGCCTCTGCTGTCTCCCATTGTAGTCTGAGAGTACTCAGGGCCACCTGTGCAGCGAGGGAACACAGGAATGACATCCCATGCCCAGAGCAGCACTCCTGCCTGCTGTCACTGTCCCCAGCACACTGTGGCTATTGGACAGGCCAGGGTGTGTCCAGCAATCACCTCCCTCCTTTGCTCCATCAAGTCCTCCTCCAGCAGCTGGCTGCCCAGTGGCCATACTCTGCCACCATGCCCCTGGCAGGAATGTCCCACCCACCTCAACTCCAAGGCCTTAAAGCCCTGCAGGAGTGCCAGCCACTGAGCCTCCTGTACGGCTGTCTTGGCATTGTCCCGCATACAGTCTGGGGCTGGAGGAGGCTATGCACCTCTGTCCCACATGTGGGGATCAGAGTCCTTAGGGAGTTGGATGGTGAGGACCCAAAGGGTAGCAAGAATTAGGAAGGAGACTGGCTTAGGGGCTTAGGCCTCATGGTCTCTGGGGTAGGGTGGGCTCTAGGGGGGGACCTAGAAGGCAGGTAAGTAGTTGAGCAGGCAGCCCTGCCAAGTGAGTTTTCTGCTACAGTGAAGATACCCCAGGAGATATCGTAGGCTCCGAGACCCTGGAATTCCCAGGATGCTAGAATAGTCATGCAACTAGCGCAGGACATTTGGAAAGCCTGGGAACTCAGGATGCATGGACACCCTGCTTGCCGCAGAAGGAAACAGGCCTGAGAAACTAAGAAGCTTCCCAGATTCTCAGTGGAGTAGAAGTTAGGTCGACAGAGCTCTGACCAAAGTGGAGGTTTGGTGTTGGGGGGTGGGGCAGGGCCTGCACGCCTCCAGCCCAAATCTGTGGTAAAGCAGGCTAGGAGGCAGCTGGGGGCCATCAGCAACACAGGAAGCAAGGCCAGAGGCTAGAGGCCACATCCCAAAATAGACAGCTCAGGGCAGTGGGGTCTGCAGACTAGTCCTTGAAAGCAGCCTGCAACCCCCTCCTCAAGGCCTGAGCTCAGCTTAGGTGTCTCCTTGTAACTAGGCTGGGGTTCCAGGGAGCTGTTTCCAGGTTCTTGGTGTTCCAAACGAAGAACTGAGCACAACAATCAGAAGGAACAGCAAGAGATGCATTAAAGGGAATGAAGCTAAAGTCACCGGGTTCAGAGTGCCAAGGGAAAGAGCTCACTATCTAATAAGGCAGTGCTGGCTCTCTGGCCTGAGGTCATGGGAGGACTTCCAGTTGGGGTTGATAGGAGTCCTGGCCCAGTGGGGTACTGACTCAGCTCACCTATTGGTGAGGGAGGTTCTGGCCATGCAAGGCTTTCAGAACGATCAGTGTCCAAAGCCCATTGGGCATACATATGTGTATACACATCATGAGGCTGCACATAGGCTATAGTGCTCATTTTGGTTTTGCGCATGCCTGGTGGATTTGGGTGACAGAGTGACCTTTATCAGGGGTTTCCTGATGTTTTTGACATCATCCTTGGTTGCTCTGGTCTTTTGACACTTGCCCCAGGGCTTCCTGTTGTTCATTTGTCCTTGTCCTACCTCCTGCCTCACCCTGATGGCCTTTGTGACTACACACAAGGCCCATTCCCTGGGCTTCAGGGCTCATGAGAAGTGTAGAGCTGGCTGAGGGGTGGCCCTCTACTATAGCCTGAGAACTGGCTGTAGCCCAACATGGCCCACAAGTAAAGAAGTGCTGCCTAAGGCTGAGTGTGGTGTCCAGGGACTGAGGGGAGGTGGCATTTAATATGGAACAGACCACTGTAGACTGGTACAGCTGCCTTGAGGCGCAGTAGTGTGCCAGGACTTGTCAGGCCTTGGGGTGAACAGGGATGGGGGGGACACGACCCCCTGGGTGGGACCTCTGGGTACCATAGGTGGTCTAGATAAAGTCTGTTAAGGTGGTCTGGGATGGGCCTGCGAAAATGGTCTAGGAAAGGGTATTACATTTGTTAAGTGAGTACTGTGCCACTGAGCTATATCCCTGGCCCCTTAGAATGGAGTCTCTTGAGGTGGACCAAGATGAAGTCTGAGGAGAGTTAAGATGGGTTTCCTGAGGTGGGCTAGGATGGGTCCCCTGATGAGGGGTTAAATGGACTACATGAGATAGGCTAGGAAGGGGGGCTCTGGAAACAGAGTAAGATAGGTCACCTGAGGTAGTCATGGCTGGCATCTCCTGAAATAAGGGTTAGGGTGGGTCACCTGATTGGTCTAGAATGGGGTCTTCCGAGGAGAGCTAAGATAGAGTCTCATCAAGTGAGGTTGACTAGGATGGATCACCTAAGGTGTAGGATGGGATCTCCTGAGGTGAAGACAAGATGGGGCACCTGAGCTGTTTGGAATGGAGTTTCTTGAGGTGGTCTAGGATAGGTTACCTCAAGTGGGCTAAGATGAAGGCTCCTGAAGTGGTCTGGGATGGGTTTCCTGAAATGTGCTGGGATGAGCTCTCAAGGTGAAGGCTAGGATGGGTCACCTGAGGTGGTCTACTTGGGGTCACCTCAGGTGTCAAAATGCAGTCTTCTGACATGAGATGAGCTAGGATGTGTGCTCACTTTGGCAGCACATATACTAAAATTGGAACGATACAGAGATGAGCTAGCATGAGCTCTCTCTCTCAGGTGCAATGTACTAGAACAGGACACCTTGGTTGGTTCTGGATGGGGTCTCCTGAGGTGAGGAGGGTTAGGTTCAGTCACCTGAGATAAGTGTTGGATAAATGCCCCAGGGTGCTCTAGGATGGGTCTCCTGAAGATAAACTAAGATGGAATCTCAGCACCTTCCTTCCAGAAACCCAAGCCAAGCCCTGCCAGCTCTCCACATCTCGGGCCCACCCCTGGGCAAGTGGGACAGGCATAAGCACAACTGCAGGTCTAGGGCCAGGAGAGCTCCTCTAGAAATGGGAGGGGAGGGGTCCTGTGCCCTGATAATTCCTGATGTCTCATTAAGACTGGGATTGGAGGGCAGCACAGGTACATGTCCCAGGAAGCATCTCAACATGGCACCTGACCCATTGCCTGCCCTGTGCCTGCCCTTTACCAGGCTGCGAACGAGATCGTCTGTCCTTCAACTTCTGTGAGCTCCTGCACAACATGGGCCACTGTGAACTGCCCACTGTTCGTGTACAGTGCTGCCATTCATGTCACCCATCTAACCACAAGAGCCTATCCCATGGCCACTCACAGGTAGCCCACCGCTGACAAGGACCTGGGCAGGACACACAGACTGTCAAACTGTCCATGACACACAGACCTCAGCGCCGCCCCTCATGCCCTATGGTGCTAATCCTGCCCACCCCAGGGCAGGCAGGGACCCACCCCCTCAGGAAAAGTATTTTTTTATTGTAAAGTTTTGTGTAACATTTGTTATTATTTTACATAAATATCTACTGTTCCAAAACACTGCGTGGTTTCATCTCGCCTCAGGGAACCTCAAGCAGAACCCTGCCCTCTATCCTTCACTGTTTCTCCATATCCTGGACCTTCTGTGGCCACAGCTGTGCCTGTGCTTCTGGGACTGGTGCTGAATGTGGGTGCAGAGACCATCAGGACAGAGGAATACCTAGACACAGGACAGGGTAAAGGTGTATGGCCAGGTTCCGTCCACGTCCTTTACTTCGTATCCACCACCCAGCCCTCCCACAGCCCCCACCAGGCCCTCAGACCTGTTTCACAGCTGGCACACACATTCCCAAGCGACAGAGCCCCCTGTCATCTTCAGGGGCTGCCCTGGCCCCCTCTGATCGGCTAATTCCCACAGTGTAGAGAGGGGAGGGACTCCTTGCTCCTCCTAATCCCCACTGTCCCTTTCCTTCATCTCAAACAGTGCTTGAGGGTGGGCTAATGACCCCTGCTCCACTACCAACCCTGGGCACCAATTTTTAGCACAATGACTTGTGGCCCAGCAGCACGGCATCTGCCTAAAACCTCCTTCCATGGAGCTAGGCTGTGGTGTATACATATTAGGTAGGTGTGATGGTTCTCAGGCAAGGAGGAATGGACACTGTCGGCTTCCCAGACCCATCCACATCCACCCCTTCCCTCTGGCTACAACCTTGGGCCTTTCACCTCTTTTCCAAGTCCCCTCATGGAAGTATTTCTTCTCTGAATTTGAGGAAGCCCTGTCCTCACATTCCATTTTCCAGTGTACACCACCAGACTGTTAGATGCCAGGGACAGCATGTGGGCATTCTGGTGGGCCTTGTGGCTAGGATGGGCACACTGGGAATCATTTGCTAGAGACTGAGACGATAGGGCTATATCCAAGGGAAAAATAATAAGCACCAGATCTGCACCAGAAGGGTAAAGAGTGTGAGTGTAGGGCACTACTACTCCCAGCCACCTTGCCCACCTAATCCTAAACATTCCCTATTCCATGTGACAACCCAGCCATATGCCCACATAGCACAGGCCCAATGTAGACCCCAAGTCTCCATCTCTTCTGAGCACTGGGTAGCCTCCACAGTACCCTGTTATGTATGTACCAGGCAGGACCCCATGTTGGCAGAAAATCATCTGAGGGCAGGAAAGCACAGGCCTGTGCCCTGTGTTTGTGTGGAGGACCTGGGTACCCATACTGAGAAACAGCATCTCCAGCCTTTGTCAGACAGCCAACTTCACAAAGATGGAGCAGGAGCAGATACGGTGGTGCAGCCCTTGGTGCCAGCGCAGCCCTGCCATTGCCATTGCTGTTGCTATTGCACAGTACAACCTCAGGTTCCTCACAGGGCGCAGCTTACAGTGCTGGCCTGCCTCGTGATCATTCTTTGTAGGGCTACATTTGGTCTCGATCATTTTTGTGTGTTTTTCCAGTTGTGGCCAACATATCCCCACAGTGGCAGCTGGACAAGAGGCAAATGAGGCAATGACCAGGCAGGCCTGGACAGCGGGCAGGAGGCCGCCTGTGCTCTGCAGGAGCTTCTCTGGGCACAGACAGTGTCTGGATCCTGGCTCCTACTACTGTCCTCAGACCTAGCCTGTAGCTTGGCCACAGTTCTCAAGAGCCACCAGTGCTGGGAGAGGCAACCTGTCCCAGCCATCCCACCGCACTGGGCAAAGACACCCAGAGTTGATGGCCAAGTTGGTAGGTAAACCCCTGCCCTTGGGATAGGCCCCAAAAGAACATGACTTAAAGAAGTTTATTTTAACCTGAACATCAGTACAGAAGCTGCTGTCATATGGAGGGACAGCGACCTACTGCACAAAAACACTGTATACGAGGGGGGCTCATGCAACAATGCAAACACTTCAATAGGAAAGCATGACTGGGGTTTGCCTATGGTGCTTCCTGTGTCAATGAAACTTAGCAGAAACCAGCGTTTTCTGCAATCCGGGGGTGAGGCTAGAATCCACGTAGACACGGAGCGCATGGCTGGAGATAAAGATGGCATAGGGGGAAGAGCAATGGGGAGGCTCAGGCTTACATAAATACATGCAAGGGGGTGGGGCACACAAAATAGAACTTGTTATAGAAAATAGATGTACAGAATCTAGAAAAAACTTGATAAAATAGCCTACAAAAATATAAACTGTAGTAAAAATATACAAAAGTATCAACAGGTTCAACCTATTGAAAAACAATAGAAACCACTGCAAAGCTGGCGCCTTCCCCAGCCCTGGCACGTGCATGTGGCCAGCAGGTGAGACCACATGCAAGATGAACCATGTACACAGTCAGGGCCAGAAGGTGCTCTTCAGACAGCAGTGTGAGGGACAGGAATGAGTCTCCTCAGCTGCAGAACAGGGTGGGAAATGTTGATGCAAAAACGGGTTCAGCCTGGAACTGGGCCAGCATGCACCCGCCACCGCCCATCCAGGAGGGCACCCAGTCCATGTCCAGGATCACTGCTCTCGCACGCTGCCTGGCCACAGAGCAGCCCCGCTGTACAGGTGCTATGGCAAAGCACTATTCCACGGGAAGGTGGACCAAACATGAACGTTCCTGAGGGGCTACTCTTGGCCCCTGAATGTGGCAGCTTGGGTTGGCACCTTGTGTGGGAAACTGACTTGGAAACTAAAATCTGGGGGCATCTAGAGCTGACCCAGGAGGCACCTGCCACTGTTCCCTGTGCCTTCTCAGCAGCTGTCCCCAGCTAACAGCCTCTCTGGAGGAGGACGGATAGGGTGCACCAGCAGGTGGCCTGTACCTGACAACAGTGGCAGACTGGCTCCCCATTCATGGGCTACTTTCCAGAGAAGCTGAACCTCAAAAACCAGTCCCAACACATACATAACAGCAAGATGTGTTTCTGACACCTGAACAGAGAAGTGGCTGAATAGAGAGACCAGCTCTCTGCATAGTAAGGAAGCAACTTTACCAAAGCTACAAGCTGAGTTCAGCATACAAGTAGTGTAAAATACTCCATGTAAGACTATTTCTCTTGTACTGAGTAATACTGTGTCAAAACACATTCACTTACAACACCCAAACCTCAGGGATGGTCTCAAGGGGCAGGGGGGAATAGTCAAGACCTGGCAGCCTACCACATCAGAGACCACGTGAACCCCATATCTTCACCAAGAACAAGGTTATCTAGCAGCCGCATGGAGCTGGGTGAGAGCTCCCATAAGCCCTGGCCTCAGCAAAAGTATTGTCAAGCTCCAGTGCAGGAAGGCACAGGAGCACTGGCCACCCAGGGGGTTCTTGTCCAGCAGCTGCAAAGCCCCACAGCTGCTTCTGTGCCCTCACCAGGGGCAGGCAGTTCACCTGGAGTCCTACCCAGCCCTATGTGAATAGCTTTCATATATCATCTTCCAGGTGGAAAGTTTTCCACAGATGCCAAACATGGGGCAAGCTGCAGCAGAACCATCCCACTCGAGGCTGGTGCAGGGCCAGGCCCCCCAAGTGGAGGAACTACAGTGAAAGGTTGAGCCTGAGAGGGCAGAGGAAAGCTCCTGGGCTTTCAGCAGAGGCCACTCCAGAACAAAGGTGCACTTGTTTTTTAAGGAAGCCCCTCTGCACACTGATCTCACCACATGGGAGTAGCCACAATGAACCCCTAGTGTATCTTCCAAGTACTGCTGTTTAAGACACACACAGCTGCTATGTACAGGAGACGTCACGATATGGGAGGCACCCAGCAAGGTCAGTTTTCATGGGGCGAAGACCAAACCAGCTGGCAGAAGCTGTAAACAGAGTCTTAGAGACAACCAGCTGGTAAGTGCACAGTGATTCACCGATCAGGCAGAATGCAGGACTGAGACATATGTGACCAAATGCTACGGCACTGTGCTGGCTGTAAACAGAGCAGACCCCTCTCCAGCCCTGAGTGGGATGAGAAAGTGCAGCCTGGCTTTGGACATCTGCCCCACAGAGTCCCAAAGGCCACAGATGTTACACCCCAGCATTAAATGAGCAGGGACCCCTGCAGTTCACTTTGGACACACTTTGGTTACCACAGCAAAGAGCAGCATCTAGGGGAGGGGTTACTCAGGCATCCTCCTCCTCATCGCTGACCAGGCCACCCTTGTCAGGGCCAGGTTCCCGCTCACGCAGGAAGTCTTCGCGGATGGCCTCCAGCTCAGTGAGCTCTTGTCGCACCTTCTCCAGGTGATAAGCACGTCGGTTCCGTATCTGACGCAGAGGAAAGGGGTTCAGGTCCACAAAGGAGATGTTGATCAGCTTCCTGGTATAAAGGGCAGAAAACAGGTCAGTGAGAGTGCTCTCACAGCCCCCACAGCAGCAAAACCACGGGACAAGCAGGAAGGACACCGATTCTCCACACACTAGAGGATTGAGTGGGTGAACAGGCCTCCTCCCATGGGGGCCTCGGTGGCCAAGGCGACATTCATGATCCTGCAGGTCTGCTATGCCTATCTTCTGGCCTGATTCCCCATCAGAACATTGGGAACATTGGGTATCCTGACCCAGAGCATGGGGGCTCCTGAAAGAAGTACCTGGTACTGTTCCACATCTGTGGATGCTAGTGGGTATGAGTCATCAGGGCCAGTGCCAGGCTGGACTGACTGCACAAGGGCGGACGCCTGAGCAAACCAGCAATGACAAACAGCAACACAGACCTATGCTGCCTAAGGGCTTCTAGTACCTCTGAGCCAAGGACCAATTTTCAGCAACTTACAAAATTGGGACTTACCTTTAACCACTGCCTATCTGTCTAAGACAGAACTAAGACTTGTCCCAAGGCTGCTGTTGCTCCCAGCACACAGGTCAGCCCACTGCTCCTGGGCACAGGAGGAGCTGACTTCCCCAGATGGGGCCATACCCTGCCTGCCAACTGAGGGTATGGTTGAAGTAGTACCCCTGCCATCACCCAGCTGTGTGGGCTGTATTTAACATGGTGTGCAATATGCAGAGGCACAAGCCTTAGGAATCCTCCTCCATCGTTACTACTCTACAATTCATGCATGCCTGATGAACCCAAAGATTCTGGCATGGAGATACAGGTGAGCAAGGCCAGCTCTGTTCAATGCCAAGCTCCGACTGTTCTAGGACAGGTGAGCCCCAGAGATCAGGGCAGCCCTGAGCAAGAGACACTGTGGGCAGACTAGCTGAGAAATAAAACACTGCAAGGACTGGGTCCGGGAAGCCCACACACCAGCTCTCCTTACTGCAGCTATGCACACCTAAGCTATATAAACCCAAGACCTACTATCTTCCCTTTTTCTACATAAAGTGAGCACTGGGAGTGCACAGTGAACACTTCCACTCTTGGATGGGAAGCTGGCTGGCCTATCAGCCCAGAAGCAGCACAGGCAGCCCCAGATTCTACCCTGAAATGCTCAGCTCTTCTGAGCACCCAGGGATCTTGCTGCAGAGACCATTTCAACTGTATCGTCCAGCATCTTCTGGATGCACCTGGCTATAGAAGCCCCTCCTTCCTGTACTATAAGACCCATCTATATGCTGCAGAACCAGTTCACCCTGGAACCATTCTTGTGGGGGCTTCTTAAACTATCAGGGCCCCCTGCAGAGGGGCCTGGGCACCTGCACTCTTAACAACAACACCTACCACCCATAGTCCTGCCAGCACATAAGGCAATATGAAGGCTTGGACTTTCTAAAGCAAGGAAAACTTCACCAAACTGCTCACAGGTGGCGCTGCAGGACCATAGAGGGCTTGGCAGGCACTGCCCAGCCCTAACGGGTGTTAACAAGACAGGCTGGCAGGATGGACAGGCTCCATCTCTGAACCAAAAAATTTCAACATAGGGTTAGCTCTTGGACTGAGGGAGCCCATCCAGAATCTTTCTTGATGTTATTAACAGAAAGTTCTGGAGACTCCTGAGAACCTAGCAGTGTTGACAGGCAAATATGACCATAAGATATCCTCTGGGCCGAGATTAAGTCCCTGCTGAGCATGTCAGTGTTGATCCTAACAGCCTAAAGTACCAAAACAGTGAGGATGCCGGAGAGCCTTGCAGCATCCACTGGGTCCGGCTGCTGCCAACAGACTCCCCCACTGTGGTTCAGGGGTCACAAGAAGCCCAAGACAGAACGATTCCAAATGCTTGGCTGCCAAACCAGAATTCTTCCAGATTCAGACCTCTCCCGTCGGTCTGCCCCAGCGCTTCAGCTCCACAGTAGCTCCTCTCCTGCTAGGACCACTCACACACCCATCCTCCCAGGATTCCCAGAGGCCATTCTATGCCAGTGTGACCTGTCCCTCTCTTGCCTAAGTTGTCTATGGTGATTTCCAGTACTCTTAGTGCTAGGAAGCTTGCAAGAGCCAAATGGCCCAGCTCTACCATGGCCAGCTACACACACAGGCAGACCGGTGACTAGGCGAATCCACTTACAGGTCCCCAAGCACTGGCTCCCCCATCTGCATGCTGCCCAAGAAGGGTTCTTCCTAGCATCTCCCCTCATCTCCCTTCCTAGCCTAGGCCCTCTGCTTGGGGCCCTCCTGCTCCCCTACCACCACCAAACTCTATCTAGCACCCCATGCCTGGCCCAGGCCCTGTTTGTAACACACTCAGCAAACAACTGTAGACCCAAACAGACCATGGTTTTTGGTTACTGGGATTCACATTTTCTGGTTGAAGTATAAAACCAATTTCATCTCAGTTCTCTTCTAATCTCCACAAGATCACACCCTTCTTGTTTCTTCTCTCAGGAAGGGAATTTCCTCCCCCACACAGAACCCAAGTCTTACAACAGCAGGAACCAGCTACTGTGGGAGTGCAGAGGTGTAAGTTTCAGTTTTCCTGATCTTTTGGGGAAAGAGAACTCAGGGACTCACCGGGCATCAAGGATAGTGCGAGTGAAGTAGCGGAGATACTTGAATATAGACATTGAGTCCTGCAACTTCAGGATCTCTTCTTCCTTGTATTTAAAAACTGCCAGGGCAAAACGGAAAATAACCTGTAGAAAGGACAGGCAACCATGTGAGTGAAAACAAGCCTGAGTGCTGAGGTCCTGAGGAACCACCCATTGGGCCTGGCCCATGTGCATGCCGGCCCTGGGGGCAGATTCTCACTGGCCAGGCAAGCCTCTTCACAGGAAAGTAAACAGCAGCAATTCAGCCCCAACCCAGTCAGTCTCCCTGTGAAGTAAGTAGCTGTAGAATCCTAAGTTCAGCTAATATTTCTCATCAGTACAAAATAGAACTAGAAATTTCATTTATTTGCTAGCTTGCTTGCTTGCTTGCTTGCTTGCTTGCCTGCTGGCAGCACTGGGGAGTGAACCACGGCCTCACCATGAGCTACATCCCCAGCCTGTTTTCTTATTTGGAGAAGAGAAGCACAGATAGACATGAAACTGTCCACCCTATCATCCACCGGGGCTGCTGGATAAGTTTCTGGCTCATTTGTGCAGCTTTCAGCCTACCAGAGTAACTGAGATTACAAGTGTGGGACTCCCACTGTGGCTAAGTAGAAATCACCTGTACCACTGGTACAAACAGATTTAATCACTTTTATCAGGATTTTTACTAATAAAGGTAATAAACCCAGCAGTGAGACATCCAAAGTACAGCCCCTTCATGAACATGTTAAGTAAACTCAAAACCGAGGTCTTTTCATTCTGAAAGCCTCAAAAAGCTTGGCCACCAGAGGCCACTCCCCTCATGACTGGTGCAGCAGCACCATAAGTACTGATTTCTAAGTATGAAAAAAGAGAATCCACATTTTAGAGGATTCTGAGCAATCCCATATTTGAAGCTGGGGAGTGCACGCATGATGGTCTTAGCACATTAAGGCAGATTTGGAAAGAACTCTAGGAGCCCTCTCAGCTCCTTACTTAAAAGGCAGTATGTACAGAGGGGTCCCTGCACTTCCCTGCCTGAGGCCTGATTCCCATACTGTTTCTGCCCTCACTGAGAAATCCTTATAGTAAGAGCAGTCTAGATCATCACGTTAGCGATGCACTGCAGTACACAGAACTTGAAGCACCTGCGACCCCCTCACCTTTGGCCCAACACCTCTACCACAGGCGCACCTGCACAGATGCAAAAAGACAGCAGTCTCCGAGTCAACACAGCACGGGTAGACGTGAAACTGCCCACCCTACCATCTCTGGGCTGCTGTGTAAGTTTCTGGCTCATTTGTACTAGGAAATCCTATAAAGAGTTACAAAACATGCATGTGTCAGACCTTGACACCCTGATATGGAACTGTCTCCAAGATACACTTATGTAATTTATGCACTGAATACTTACGAGAAGGATGTGTAGTACATGGAGAAGAATTAGGACACTGGGGACAGGGAGATCTCCTTTCCACTATCTACCCTTAGTTTTTGATAAGTAGTGTATTTATATATTAAAACATATACTAGTTTTCTAAAACACACAATGGGGGGTGCCTCACGGGCAGTCTAGCTGACTCCCCATCCTCTCTGATCAGATCTCTGAACCTCTTTAACCACACAATGCAGATAATGCCAACACCCATTCCACAAATGGTAAGGCTCAGACTACAAACCATGCAAGCTCCCAGGCCTAATACAGGGCTTGGTACTATTGTTTTTGTTCTATTCTGCAGTGCTGGGAAAACCAAAGTCCCATGCAAGCTATGTAAATGCTATGTCCCTAAGCCACATCCCCATCCCATACTGAGCATTGCTACTAGATAAGCAGTGATCATGGCTCCTCAAGGCCCCCAGGACCACCACAGCACTGTGCCCTGCTGCCAGTCACCAGGAGTGTAACTGAGAACAACATAGACAAGCACATTCACCTTTGGTCCCTCATACAAGAAAGAGTCCCATATCTTAAAGAGGATGTCGCTAACTACGCTGTCCACAAACACCACCAGGAACCAGTTGAAGGTAATGAGCGTATAATCAACTTTGTATTGTTCAAAGTGTGCGTGCAATCGAGGCAGCTTCTCATTCATGAGATCTCTGAACACCCGCTGGTCCACCTGTGGAGGGAACAGAGGGGAAAGGGGTCAGAGTTGGCCACAGCACTGAGCAAGCACACAAGGCCAGTAGCTCGGACTGGGAGCAGAGGGTGGAGTCACAGGAACCATGGCCACAGAGCTGTCCCAACTGTGGGGACTGTCACAAGGCTGGGCTGCTCTGTGGCTCAGAGGTGTCTAAACCTGAGTGCTGCAGATGCACATCCAATATCCAGGCTTTGGGGTAAACAAAGCACAGGGATGGTAAGCCTGCATCCTGGGCAGATGTAGCAAAATGAGTCCTGAGCCACAGTGGGACATTACCTACCTACCTGTATGACACACATTTACCAACTGAAAGGGAGCAGGGGGAGCAAGAGTTCCTGCCTGCGGGACCCAGGCAGGGGTCTCAGCAACACCACACCAGCTGGTACTCTCAGCAAAGGGTTTTCTATAGTCTGTCCTGTCATGGAGATGGCTCTTGTGAGGCTCACACAAGGCTCATGTGAACTATCTACTTACTGCACACAGACACACCAGGCAGAAGATGATATGGCACAAGTTCAGCCTGACCTCAAGGATACAGAAGGTAAGCAGGCAGACATATATGAATTGGCACAGTGTTGATGGAAGATCCTGGAGATAGCTCATGGAGAAGGGACATCACCTGCTACCCAAGCCCAAGTAAGGTGCTACCATGTGACAGAAGCCAGTCACAGAGGCTGCCTTATCACACAATAGGGTCAAAACCTTGTCCTGTAGGCCAGGAGCTTTCCGTAGCCCACACAAAAACAACCAGCTTCACCTGTGGCTCAGTCAATATTATCCATGTGTACATGTACAACAGGAGCAAAAGTCACACAAACAGTACTTACCCCATACACTAGACTTGCCTCAATATTCAATTCCAGTCTACTCAACTTTACTGGACACAAAAGTCCCCTGAACCACCTTCTCCAGCCAAGTTGAAAGATACAAGAGGCATGGAGCAATGTCTCATGAATGAACACCCAGGACTGTCCCTCCCATGGTAGTCAGGCAGCAAGGCTGGCCAGAGAGCGAGGTGAAGCCCTGTCTGGCCAGGTGCAGGCAGTGAATCTGAGCCCATGGAGAGCAGCAGGGAGGAAGAGAGCACAAGGATTCA